TTCTTTTGTCCTCACGTTCATAATGCACAGCTTTGCATTTAGTAGCAGACCTGGGACCACTCGATCTTGGGGTTTCATTATTTATCCAACAAGGTTGATTAGAGCTGGTGCTAGAAATAGGTATTCTCCTACGCTCTCGATGGGAGGGGCAGTTGCTACAACATCTCTGGAGAGCAATTTTGTGCCATGTGTCAAAACCTTTAGAATTAAATCGTTAATGAAGAATTAATATTAAATGTTAATTAAGTATAACGGACATTCAATAGGAATATTAAATAAATTGTTAATAATTTAAAACTGTTTGTTCAAACAAATGCCTAGAAATTTATCTGAAATAATCATGCCCGTGTCAAATGATTTGACGATGAAGATGCTCACCGAGACGTTTTTTTATAAAAGCAAAAAACTAGAACCTCCGAAATGCCTAATAATAAAGGATTCATTAAATTAATTCATGAATTATAAATATGTTTTTATGGCAAAACCACCCAACAAGCTAGACGGGAGCCATGGGGACAGTGAGGGGACTCGGGGCAACCAGAGCTGTTATCAACCTTGGCCACCCCCCAGAGGGACGTGGAGGGAAGGGAGGGACGACCAGAACATGTCAGCAGAGACTTCTGTGGAGCGCCCTACGGAGAGCAATGGCCGCTGGTCAACACCAAGGCCAGCCCAAGGGACCTTGTGCAGCGGAGGCCAAGAGAATAAAGACTCTCCTTTCTCTCTCATCTCCAACTTAGGCTCCTGTTGACTGAGCTAAAGACCACAACAAAGGTAAGGGGTCCTGTGAATGGCATTCCTACAGGGCAGACGCAGACGGGGAGGGGTGGGGAAGAGTGGACGGGGCCGGTGTTTTCGTTCCTGTGGCCGCCATAAATCGCCACAGACTTGGTGGCTTGAAACACAGACACTTATTCTCTCATGGTTCTGGAGGCCAAAAGTCTAAGATCAAGGTGTCCACAGGGTTGGCTCCTTCCGGAAGCTCAGAGAGAGAATCCACTCCACGCTTCTCTCCTGGCATCTGATGGCTGTTAGCCGTCCTTGGCGCTCCTTGGCTTAAAGGCACATCACTCAGATTTATGCGTCCGCCTTCACATGGCCTTCTCCTCTGTTTCTCCTTCGCGTCTCTCCTCTTCTGAGAACATTGGTCACTGGATTTAGGGCCCACCCAACTAATCTGGGACAAGCCCCTGTTGAAACCATTAATTTAATCACATATGCAAAGACCCTTTTTCCAAACAAGCTCACATTCACAGGTTCTGCGCAGGTGTATCTTTTTGGGAAAGGGACCATCCAACCCATCACGGGCAGGCAGATGGTATATGGTACAACCATGGAAAGATTCTCATGCAGACACATAGGTAGAGGGCCAGTGGAACGGGAGAAAAAATGTCTTCTTATCCTTTGTTTGGCAAGGAAACCATGTGTGTGCGTATCTAAGCATAAAAAAGTAATCGTGAGAGAAAACCCAGGAGTGTTTAGAATGGATCTTGCTCTGTGGCAAGATTACAGATGATTTTTCTTTGTTTTCATTCATTCATTCATTGTTCGTACATTAAAAGAAGATGATGCTATGTTACTTTGTATTATGAAAAAAGCAAATAACAGAGAGGGAGAGAGAGAGAGAGAGAGAGAGACAAAGAAGAAAAGGCTGAGTGATAGCAGTGTTATGATCTGCATGAAACAATGACAGGAGTTTGCCCAAAATGTAAATGAGAGAAAGCCCCCACGTGTGGTCACGGGTGACCCATGCTTCTCTCCTAATAACATGAATGGAAAAAGGCAGAGTGCCTGCTTGGGTGGCTCTGTCGTTAATCATCTGACTTTGGCTCAGGTCATGATCTCACGGTCCGTGAGTTTGAGCTCCACAAAGAGCTGTCTGCTGTAAGCACAGAGCCTGACTCAGATTCTCTGTCCCCCTCTTTCTCTGCCTGTCTCCCCCTTGCACTCTCTCTCTGTTGGTCTCAAGTTAAACTTAAAAAAAAAAAAGAAAGAAAGAAAGGAAAAGAGCATTCATGCTTTGTTTTTCAAGCCCCAAAGCACTTTTACTGTATTCTATGGGATTTTCAACCACTGGCTTCTGTCCCATCACAACAAAGAAAAAAGGCCATATTCTGGCCTTTGGAGAATGGATTTAATTGCATTTGTTTACATGGCCAAAGCAGGGCTGGGCATTACCGCGACCACAGGTGCCTCAAGGCTCTGACATCCACCTGACCTTAGACCATGGCCGTGTAAGAACTTTTCTTCACACTGAGTCTGCATCCTGGCCAGAAGGTTCCGATGCTGAGAATACCTTGGGGGTCCCCAAGTCATCCTGGCATAGCCCTGCCCCTTCACTCAGTGTCTCAGAAGACATTCTGCTCTTTAGACAACTTGTCATTAAGACCTAATCTCCTACTTCTTTTCATGTTTCTTCAAAACTTATCAGAATATCTTTAGGCAATCCTAGGAAGCGGGAGTTGCAAGTGCAAAGGTCCTGAGGCAGCCACAAGGAGAAGGTGGGAAAGTCATAGACGTCAAGATGTGAGAGGAAGTGAGTCGAACCATAGGGTTTTCTCATGAGGAAAGGGAAACAGATAAAGGGTCTTGACTTGAAATGACTTAAAGCCTTTTTTAGCAGACTTTATTTTTTTTAAGGACAGTTTTAGATCTACAGAAAAATTGAGAACATAGAATATGGGGCACCTGGGTGGCTCAGTCGGGTAAGTGGCCGACTTCAGCTCAGGTCATCATCTCTCGCTCTGTGAGTTCGAGCCCCGCGTCGGGCTCTGTGCTGACAGCTCGGAGCCTGGAGCCTGTTTCAGATTCTGTGTCTCCCTCTCTCTCTGCCCCTCCCCCACTCACACTCCGTGTTTCTCTCTCTCAAAAAAATAAACATTAAAAAAAAATTTTAAGCTGAGAACTTAGTATAGAAAGTTCCCATATGTCCCAGTTTCCCCTACTACTAACATCTTACATTAGCATGATACATTTGTTGCAAGTAATAAATAAAAATTGATGCCTTAGTATTAACGCTGTTGCAACTAATAAATAAAAATTGATGCCTTCGTATTAACGCAGGGTGTATTTAGACTTCCACAGTTTTTATCTTATCTAGGACACCACATTGCATTTAGTTGCCTTGTCTCTTCAGCGTCCTCTGGCTGTGGCAGTTTCTCAGATGTTCTTTGCTTTTGATGACAGGGACAGTTTTGAAAACTGACTACTGGTCATATATTTTGGAGGAACCTTGACTATTAGAATTATCTTACGTTTTGTTTTGTTTTGTTTTGTTTTGTTGTAGAAGTCTGCCTGCTGGCAAAGAATAGATTGCAACAGCGGGGAGGAGTGGAATGTGTGTGCTTTATTCAGGAAGGACATGAAAGAGAGGCAACGTGGTGACCGGAAGTGGATGGGTTCCAGATGCATCTGGAGTTAGAGCTGCTGGGCTTTGAGGACAGATTGGATATAGGCTAGGAGAGAGGGAGAGAAGTCTCTCAATAATGAATAAACATTACAAAAAATTTGTTTTAAAGAATATAGGTACTGAAGAGTAGATGTGATCACCAAATGTAGAGAAGGAAGAAAGTCCAAGAATTGAGTTCTGGAACATTCCAGCGTTGGGAGAAATGAAACGTGGAAGGGAGGCGGCATTAGTTTCTAAGGGCTGCCATAACCATGTGCCACAGAGTGGGTGACTTAACGCCACGGAAAAGGGTTGTCTCACAGTTCCGGAAGCCAGAAGTCTGGCGTGGAGGTGTCCTCTGGGCTGTCCCTTCTCAGGCTTCCGGTGAAGGCTGGCAATCTTTGGTGTCCCTTGTCTCGTAGAGGTGTCACTCAATCTCTTTCTCTATCTTCCCTTGGCCTTCTCTGTGTGTCTTCTCCCTGTGTCGTCCTCCTACAAGGACACCAATCACGTCGGCCTAGGAGGTCCCTCTACTCCAGGTGACCTCACCTTACCTAACCGATTACATCTGTAATGGCCCTGTTTCCAAATAAAGTCACATTCCGACTGGAAGTTAGGTTTCCCACATGCCTTTTCTGGTAACAGAGACCGACGAGGAGCTGCCACAGCATGAGCTGGTCCAGAACGTAAGTGCAGAAGTGGTTCAAGGAAGGGGCGTCAGGTGCGGCTGCTGGGTCAGCTGAGGAGAGGAAACGATCCGTTGCAGGTGACACCTGGGGACCAGAGCCTGCTGGGCATGGTTCCAGGGGGAAAGGGAAGAGACAATGTCTATGCAAACGTAGACGAGTCTTTTTAGGAGCTTGCTGTAAAGGGAAGGAGAGACAGCGGTTGGTCGCTGGGAGGGTTTTGCCCTTGTTTTGTGGGGGCAACTACAGGATGATGATGATCTAGACCCAGTGAAGGGGGGAAACTGAGGATGCCAGAGAGAGGCGGGGAGAATTGCTAGGGGTTATGGGCTCTCGCGGTCAAGGACAGTGACAGCCCCCACCTCCTCGCAGGAGGGAAGGCAGAGTGCAGAGGTGAATACTGACAGGTGGCGGGTGGGATGCACAGGGTGGCTACGTATGACGGCCAGAGTGTGTGGACGTCTCTTCTGACAGCCTCTGTCACGCTGTCACTCATTAGGGCGCGAGGTCCTGTGATTCTCCAGCAGCCCCCACGGCTCAGTGTGGCAGGGGGGAGGGACCGGGAGGTCTAAAGGTTTCCTTCCAGTCACTCAGTTAGGGGACGAACCCGGGTAGAGTTCAGGTCTCCTGACTCTCAGGGCAAGGCCTCTCCCAGTGCGCCACCCCTGCCTTGGGCCACTAAAAGAAGACATTCAGCCCGAAGTTCTCCCCCCACTGCCCACCGGCCAGGTGAGCTGACACTCCCCAGCCCCTCGGGAGTCCGCAGACGGGCCAGCCCGGGCCTCCGGCCCTCAGAATGCAGGCCGTTGTCCAGCACTTGGCTCCCGCCCGCTCAGTTGTGTGCTTGCCTCGAATTAGACCTGCTTAGGGCCATTTTTCTTTGGTTTTGGTATAGCTAGATCTCACCTACACCGATTCAATACGAGTGGCAATAAAGTTTATTTCTCTGCAGACGCGCTGGGGCAAACGATAAAGGTGAGGATTTCAAGATGGGAGCAGGTATAGGTGAAACAGTCGTTAACAGGCTGGGGGAGAGCCGTAAGAATCTTCACGTCTTCTGCACCAGAAATGTTCATGTGCTTTAAGTTTTCACTCCACTTTAAGGAACCCAGGAGCAGCCTTGGCAGATAGCGCGTTCAGGGGTAGTTTCTGCACGAGAGAGTACAAAGAGGCTCGGGTCAGCGGACACGCCGTCGTGGACAGCCTGGCCTGACATCACAAGGTGAGTGGGTGAGTGTATATCTATGTCTTTGAAAGTGAAATGACCCGACTAAGGTGAACGCGTATCCTTTTTCATGATTCCCCGCTTTGAGACTGCTTCCATGAGACGACTAACTACCAACGCCGATCGTGTCGATATGAGGGCTTCTGCTCTACTCAGCGAGTTGCTCACCCCATGTCTCCCCTTCGACCAGGAATCGGCACAAATCAGCACTGGCTGTAGGTCACGCACATCCCCTTTAACCGTCCTCGGTTGGCACGTGCCTCTGAGTCAAGCCCACACAATCGTTGGCAGGGAGGTGACAAACTCCGATGCTCACAGGGGACAGGCAGGTAGCATGTGGGACCAAAATGGGCCAGGTGTCAGAAAAACAGACACAGATACGCTTCGCTTTCCTTTTAAATGTGTAGGAACACTCTTTACACCTACAGATAAATATGGCTAACCAGGGGTCTTGGGGTTTGTGACTCTGTGTCTTAGGGCTCATCCCTTCTCTTGCCTTGCTTCTCGAGAGGCACCAGGAATTGGCCCTGAACCCCAATGGGCACCACCTGCAGAAGGGGTACGAGCAGAACACGAACTTAGGCTCTCCAAGGAACAAAATATCACAAGAGAAGGACCAAAAAGTGGGATAACATATAACATCCAAAGCAGAAGTACTGGAACAGATGAGCAAGGCTTTGAAACACTAATTATCCGGGTTCCTGCGTGGCTCAGTCCGTTGAGCGTCAGACTTCAGGGCAGGTCATCAACTCGAGGTTCGTGGGGTCGAGCCCTGCATCGGGCTCTGTGCTGACAGCTCAGAGCCTGCTTCGGATTCTGTGTCTCCTCTTTCTGCCCCTCCCCTGCTCACACTCGCGCGCGCTCTCTCTCTCTCAAAAATAAATAAACACGTTGAAAAAATTTAAAACACTCCT